CCGTGAGAAGGCTACTAGCAACATTTGCACGGCACAGGCTCTGTTGGCAAACATGAGCGCCATGTACGCTGTGTACCATGGACCCAATGGCTTGACTGCCATCGCTAAGCAGGTCGTTGCAAAGGCTCGCACGATCCAACAAGCCCTCATCGCCAATGGCTACAAGACCGGCCAGCGCGGAAAGATGGACAACGCACCTGTCTTGTTCGACACAGTCGTTGTCGAGACTGGCGACAAGACCGACGCCATCATCTCCGCACTCGCGAAGAACGAAATATTCGTACGAAGGATTGACGCCCATCACGTCGGTATTTCTGTCGATGAAACCACTGGTGCGAATACCATCAACAAAGTATTGAATGTGTTCAACGGAACTCGTAACGACTGGTCTTTTGCCGAATCTGTCGACATTGAGGTCCCTGAGCCATTCAAGAGGACCAGCGAGTTCATGACCCACCCAGTCTTCAACTCGCACCACTCCGAGACAGAACTTCTTCGCTACATCAACCATCTTTCTTCAAAGGATCTGTCTCTAGTTCACTCGATGATTCCTCTTGGTTCCTGCACGATGAAGCTCAACTCCACTGCAGAGATGGCACCTGTCTCGTTCGACACCGTTTCCAACCTGCATCCCTTCCTGCCTCTTGACCGCGCCACTGGATACTCTGATATGATCAAGCAGCTGGAAGACGATTTGGCCGACATTACCGGTTTCCACTCTGTCTCGCTACAGCCCAACTCTGGTGCTCAGGGTGAGTTCACTGGACTTCGCGTTATTCGCAAGTACCTTGAGCAGCAGCCTGGCAAGAAGCGCGACATCTGCTTGATTCCTGTCTCAGCCCACGGAACCAACCCTGCTAGTGCTGCCATGTGCGGAATGCGCGTTGTGCCTATCAAGTGTGACCAAGCGACCGGTAACCTGGACATGGCCGACTTGAAGGCCAAGTGCGAGAAGCACAGCGAAGAGCTCGGTGCCTTCATGGTCACCTACCCCAGCACCTTCGGTGTCTTCGAGCCCAGCGTGAAGGAGGCTTGCGACCTGATCCACCAGCACGGCGGCCAAGTCTACATGGACGGTGCCAATATGAACGCCCAAATCGGTCTCTGCTCACCCGGTGAGATCGGCGCCGACGTCTGCCATCTCAACCTCCACAAGACCTTCTGCATTCCCCACGGTGGCGGTGGGCCCGGTGTAGGCCCAATCGGCGTAAAAGAACACCTCTCGCCCTTCCTCCCCGGCCATCTCCGCGGCGAAACCGGTGGCGCCCAAGCCATTCATCCCGTCAGCGGCGCGCCCTGGGGAAGTGCCAGCATCCTTCCCATCAGCTGGGCTTACATCAAGATGATGGGCGCCGTTGGCCTCACCCAAGCCACAAAGATCACCCTCCTAAACGCAAACTACATCCTCTCCCGCCTGAAGCCGCACTACCCCATTCTCTACACCAATGACGAAGGCCGCTGCGCTCACGAATTCATCCTCGACGTCCGCGGCTTCAAGGAAACCGCTGGCATCGAAGCTATCGACATCGCTAAGCGTCTCCAAGACTACGGGTTCCACGCCCCGACTATGAGCTGGCCTGTTGCCAACACCCTCATGATCGAGCCTACGGAGTCGGAGAGCAAAGCCGAGCTAGACCGTTTCTGCGACGCGCTGATTAGCATTCGCAAGGAGATCAAGGAGGTTGAGGAGGGTGTGCAGCCGAAGGATGGTAATGTGCTTAAGATGAGTCCGCATACGCAGCAGGATCTTATTACGGGCGAGTGGCAGAGGAGTTATTCGAGGGAGAAGGCGGCGTATCCTCTCAGCTACTTGAAGGCGAAGAAATTCTGGCCTAGTGTTGCGAGGTTGGATGATGGTAAGTCTTCTTTCCTGTTCGTGGAGTTGTGAGGATGCGGACTAACAGTGCAATAGCATACGGCGACACAAACCTCTTCTGCACATGTGCACCTGTCGAGGGCGAGGACAGCGATATCACGGGTGCTGCTGCGCCTACCCCGACCTAGAACCTTCGGCCTCACGACAGGTTCGACCTTCTTTCACGGGCTTTTCTTTTTACCTCTTTGCATCAAAGGTGCGGGGCTCTATCGGGTAGGATAGGCCTCTTTCTTCAACAAGCACCCCCCAGCGTGGGTGTTCTGGCGTCTTTACATTTACATCACCTTGGCATGGCTTCAACACTTGCTGGTCGATGGATTTTTTTGTGATTTAGGGTTGGGGATTATGAATGCATATGTGGCGTTTCTTTTTGGCTGGGTATAGATGGTGCTATGCTAGGTTTGGGAATGAGATGATACTTTATGATGCACTTAACGTGTTTGTTGGGTTGATGTGGTTTTTGTGACGTGGTGAAGATGGTTGCAAACGGTGCTGGAGACTTGCGGACAGCAGCGCGGACGGTGCGCGGACGCAAGGAACCATGTGCAACATTGGCACTAGTCTGGCTGTGCGCACATAAAAACCTCCTTCAGGCTGTCCACTTGCTTCTTCCTCATATTACATCCTTCTGTGTTTTTCCAAAACTTCCTTAACTTAAGATGATGGGTTGACCAAAAAGAATCACACCGCCTTTCATATGGGCGCTCTGTCTCTTCCTCCTCTCCAAAATACCCACACCAAAAACATCCAGATAAAGCGCATATGTCTGTCCCGCCTCCTTCCTTCTCAAAACATACCTCCGTTACTTGAAAGGTGTCTTCGCCCACCTTCTCGTAGTACTTCAAAATAGGAAGAAACAACAGCTATGTGCGCTTCGTCTGCCAGAACACATCTTACCAGCCTGCTATGGCCGTGCGGTCTCTTTTCTTCTCTACAACATTCCAAGCATCAGCGACCAAAACCTCTAGCGATATGCTTGATGGCTGCTGCATTCTCCTCCCGATCAAAAACAAAATCGAAGGAAATATGGGATATGGTGTTCTCCGACTCCTCCTGGAGTTTTCCAAAACGGAACTCCGCTAGATCTATGTGTTCGCCCGGCTGAAAAATTACTTACAGTATTGCCATGACTGGTCTTCTTCTCTTCTCCTCGCGCATCTGTGATAATTGGAAGTCAAAACCTGGCTTGACATGACCGATGGTTCCCGCCTCTCCTCCTTTACCAAAAGATATGACTATACCACAGCGTGTTGTTCTCTCCCCTCTTCTTTGAACACAAAACCTATGCACGATAGATATCTTGAATGTGCTTCCAGTATCGAAATAACCATCCTATACGGGCATGGCTGTCTGCTCCTTCTTCTGCCAAAATGATCCGACAGCACGTTGCATGGCCTCGGCGTTTCGAAAACAATCATTACAGAATACATGGGCGTCAGCGGACTAAAGAAACCCGTCGACGTGGCCATGTCTTCTGCAAAAATGCACTCACATTCATGGCATGAACAGAAACATCTTCACAGATCACGCATGTCTGAAAGCAGTAGCAAAGACATCAATGTCTGCTGCGACTGCTTTGTGCAGTTTACGATTTCTGTGGATATACCAAAACGCACCCGGGGTGTTCTTATGTTGGTAAAAACCGCATAACTACGTGTCATGAGCTTGCTGCTCGCGCTTCTTGTTACTCATGGCCAAAGTGTGGTCGCTGGAAAGAGTCTAGTCAGCGATGAGGGCATGTATAAAAGTCGCGATGCTGTGCGCTCCTTCTTCTTCTTTATTACTCACTGCTTCTTGCGGTTTATCAAAATGTACCAGGTCTTCTGTTATGGAAATACCAAAACCGAAAGAATTATTCACCATGACTGCTGTGTGACGAGACGTTTCGAAAGATGAAAAGAGGGCGAACATGAGTGCTCCTTCTCTGCTCCTCTTCATCACGAGCGCACTCTCTAAATCTCACGATCGCATTCTTCACAAACCCATCAATCCACCTTCGCAAACAGAGCATCCGCAATCGCATCAATCGCCTCTCTACACAATACCCTCACCTCCTCCTTCACATACGGTTCTTCCGCAAAACACTTGAATCTCCCCCACCACGTCCTCCATCTTCCCAACGAAAAACCCGGGTTTCCATCCCAAAATTCCGTGTGCACCGCTATCCCTCTCTGCAAATCGTCTCCAAAGACCGAGTTCTCCAAGCGGTACATGTGAGATGCGCCGATGATGACCCATTTAGCAGCGGCTGTGAGGTCGTAGTTGAGAAGTTCATTGGCATCGATTGCAGAACGCTCGAGGAAACTTGGGCGAATGTGTTTCTCGAATTCAGCCTCTCTGGATTCTTTCTTCGTCTCAAGCGCTTCCCGCAGGCAGAAGAAGCCGAACATGAAGTAGCCATCATTGTATCCAGAGGTGGCCAGTTTGACGGTGAAGACGTTGTAATTAACCCATCGATCACCCGGTGTGACAGTCGCTTGCTTATCTTCTGGTTTCCAGAGATATCGTAGTCCGGATATGCCGTCGTAATTCTCTCGGTGCATGGATTCACAGTGGTAGTAAACTGGGTTTGGGGTGGGTGGTATGGCGCGAATGGCGGGGAGGAGGGCGATTATGGGGGTGTGTGAGGTGGAGAATTGTGCCACTATGTCTAGCAGTAGATTTGTGACTTCGAAGCCGGTATCTGCGGGTTTTGATGAGGCGTTGACAGAGGTCACGATTGCAGATGCGGTTGATGCAGGTGGGGTGTCTGTGGTGCTGGAGAGATAATCTGAGAGGATTTTGGTGCACTCTTGGAAGGCCTTGTCACCGGCGCTGGCTTTCTGACTGAACCATTGATCCATACTGGATAGTTTGGGTTGTAAAAGGTGTGGGTGTGGAAGTAATGTTGCAGCCGCGGCTCCTGCTCTCCCACTTCTGGGTACGGTGCCTAGCCTCTCTGATGCGCCCTCGCTTGTTCCGACAAGGGCAGATGACTGCGCCACACTCGCGCAACAACGTATATGCCCCCTTTCGCCCTTTATCACGACACCATTTCTCAAGCCAATCTCCTCATAAAGAATTCATATAGACCCAGATATCCGGGTGTGGTTCAATATCGCCAACCGCAAATCCTCATAGGCGCATGGCAACTTTCCACCCCTTCCCTCGTCTGCCCTACGAGCTGCGGATGCAGATATGGGAGATGACTGTTGAACCCCGCGTGGTGAACACTGAAGTCCAGTACGACCGCAAGACCCGACAATTGCCTCTAACGACGTCCACGCCCATACCCGCTGTCCTCCAAGCATGCCAAGAAGCTCGAAATCACGGATTGTATAAGAGATGCTTCTCCGAGCTGGCTGTGCCTACCTACGGAGCGCAGTAAGTGATTGTTTTCCTTGAGACAAAATGATGCATGCTAAGTGGCGATGCGCACCGTAGATACATATGGGCTAATCTTGAAATCGACACCATCGATATTGGAAAGTCCTGTTTTGAGCACTTTGAGAAAGTCGCTGAGTCTATTCGCTACCTAAAGTTCTCCCGCGAAATGCAGGCAGAGTATTTCTACTACGGGGAAGTTAAAGACGTCCAAGACTTTGTCAACGCAAGGGAGATTTGGATCGTGCCTCTCGATGGACTCGGCTGCTGTATTGGAGCTACAGAAGAACACTATTGGCCTTGCGGCGAGGAAAACGTATACTATATTGACCCTGAGGATCCCGAACGAGTTTTCCGAGGCCCTGGTGGAGAATGGGAGATTGCTGATTTGTATGGACCCAAGGCTTCATGATATTGCGATGACCCCTCGTTGGCGAGCTTGCCGACGAGCCCCTGGGAAGTATCGCAATAACAAGAAACATGGACGAAAAGCCAAATGCGAAGACATCTGCTATCGTGGCGCCTTTGGCTTCGCCGGCGTACAAAACGGTAATGAATGTTAGTGCGGCAGCTAGGTTGGCGGGAGCTGGGCGAGTGATCAAACGAGCTGCGATAAGCCATGCACTGGCGATGAGGAGACGTTCTGCGGCGGAGATGGTGTTATCAACATCTTTAAGGCTGAAGAAAATCAAGAAGCTGTTTCCGCTACCACGTCTGCCACTGCCACTGCCACTGATACTGCATGTGAGAATGCATCTGACACTGCCTCTGCCGCCGCGGTCGTGTCTAGCGCTGCTGCCAACAAACTCGGTGGGATGATGATGATGAGTGGAGGCTTTTGGGGACTACGATATACGTTCTAGTCGATCAATTTCCTACTATTAGCTGTGGTGGTAGATACGCTGAGCGGTATAATCCATGTCCTAATCAAACGTGAGAGCGGAAGACGACGTCATTGCTTTTCGACACGGGCACGCTAAGCGTCGTTGGAATGTGTAGCCGGTTGACGCTAAGGACGAGGGTATAAAAGCATTCATTCTGTGATCTGGATGCTGTTACCTTATCACTTAAGCATCCACTCGTTTCTCCAAAAACAGGAAGTACCACAACGCATGATCGTGGACTCAAGAGAAACTAGTGCAGGATCCATGTGGCTATCTTCTTCGCTCGCCTCAACACAGTACTAAAAGGGTTCATATCTGATTTCTATGCTCCTCCCCTCCACTCTACCAAAAAGACTCAAAGTCCAAAACACACACCATGTTCGCTCATGTCGGTCGACCAGAGAGACCCGAGCAACCCCTCCATGACTCCAACATCACGACCTACGGCTACTAAAACCGCGACGAGTAGATCGCAATGTCTGTGTTGTCCTTCTTCCTTCTTTCCCAAAAATGAAAGAAATTTTCCTTACAAACTGGACACGACCGTCGCTTCCCCGGTGTATAAAACCACCACTTTCACTTCCTCCCTCCTTCATTCATCGACATACACCTCGTCACCTTTTCACCAAAAGTATACCCTGTTTTTTCCATGTGGTGCTTTTGTATCAAAATCTTTTTCGATAAATCAAAATGTTTCTGCTGTCTCTGGACTGCGCAACCAGAAATATTGACATGTCCAACCAATACCTGTCTTCCCGCTCTTTCCTCCAAAAACAAGCGTGGAATTCAAAATCTCTCACTTCAAGGCCATGCAATCCAGAACCAAAAGCTCACATCATAACAAAACATGTTGTTCGGCTTTGACTTAAACAAGACATCTAGAATATTATGATCTAGTCTCTCTTCTCCGCGAAAGTCTAAACACTAAGAGTCAATATTCATGCTCTATGATTGAGAATAACCAAAAGACATTTTTGAACGTTGCATGAAAGATTTTCCCGCTCAAACGAGAGATACATGGCACCATGCTTCTGCTTCCTCTTCCTCCAATACCGCACTTACTCGGCAAAACAAATCAATACAAATATCCACTTCAATCGAAAACTAGCATACCAGGCAGACGTGTGTGCCTCCAAAAACAACCTTGTGACCGGTCTATGTGTCCCTGGATCTTGTTCTCCCTCGTATACCGGATAGCGGGTCCAAATGATATGATTTCCTATCGCTTTCACATCACGAAGAGTAGCAAAATGCCTCAGAATGCTTGTCATGGCTGTGCCTCAACACACGAGCTTAGTGCATACTACGAAAATCAGAACAAAAGCCAGAACATTCTTGTTCCATGTTGTGTTGATAAGCAGCGTTGAGGAATACGTATGAGTTTGGTCGAGCTAAAAGCACCCTGCGGTGTGGTGTATACCTGCAGAGTGTACCGAGTACAGCTAGGGAATCCCGAAAAAAAGACATGTGACAGTCTTGCCGATGTGTAGTATCGTGGGGTACTATTTCGAGTAGATGATGCTGATCATCGTCATGGTCATTCCTCGTAATTGCTCGTATACGTCGATGGTCGTGGTCGTAATGTCTCGAGCTTTTTCATTTGACACAGATAAAGGGACAGTGGACTAGAAATTCATTGTGCCATTGATGTGTTTACAGCATTACGGTGCAGATCAGCGTACCGCCTCTATCGCAGCCCCACTAGCACTCAGCAGCCACGCTCTCTCAAATACAATCACTCTTCTTCGACCTCTTCACCGCAGCGCGATCGATCCTAGGGTCCAACCTATTCATCAGATCACTCTTATGAGGATTCGTCGTCGATCTTGGTTCGCCCCTCGTAGAGCTGGGTGGATCCACTCTTGCATCTTCAAATCACAGAACATTAGCATAAGCGTACGCCGAGGCTGCTGCGCGCTGAGCACCTTTACGAAAGACATGTGGCGAGCCACCTTCAACGAAAACATGCGACAGCCTGCGGAGAGTGAACTTACGGCTTCGGCGGCGAGATATGCGATGAAGTTCGTCGTCAGAGTCTGGCGAGTACCTTCCCGACTCTGCTGAGTTCTCAGAGCCGTCGTCGTACTGCGACGCGGGCTCTGTAGTAGCGCGGTTCGGAGGAGGATATTGTTCTGGTTCGACGTCTTCATCAAGCATGTTCAAGACGCTGCTTTGATGCGTAGGTTTCGGTTGGTGGTAGGAAGGTTCCGGTTGGCTGTAGCCGGGGCCACGAGCCGATACTTCGTCTGGCATATACGGTGTCGCCTGTTCGGGCGGGTCAAGCTTCTGAGCAGCCTCGAGACCTGAAGCGCCGCTGATTGAGCCACGGAGACGATGGATGTTGGGGTGATCCGTGTACTTCATCGACTCTTCGTCCGACCCGACCGTGAAAACAGGATCGAGCTTGTTCGCAGCCTCTAATCCGGACGAGCCGCCGATGGAACCGCGGTGTTCATGCGGAGGATTCGGGTCATGCTGGGATTCGTGTGGCGGGTGCCATGCGTCGTTGAAGCCTTGCGATGGCTACCATTCGGCAAAGTCTCTCTCGGCTATACAGCATCAGCATCAATTTGAGAAAGGTGCTGAGAAAAGGAGGTCGTGTAGTATGTGTAGTTATTCGGGATACTCAATCTCACCTGTGCCGTCTTTCTGCGCTGTATGAAGTAATGAACGAACATGAGCTGTGACGTCAGCGAGAACAAGTGGATGAAGATCGGTAGGTACGAGGAAAAGGGTATATTGATGTTGAAATGCTCAGTGTATCGTCTATCTACGCGTTTCGTAGCCCGTACCGCCAACTTTGGATGTAGGATCAGCGCGGTGGTCTACGTCCGAGTCGAAGCGCGGGTCCATCTTGTTGCCAACGTTTGTGGAATGCGGTCCAGCGTTTGTAGAGTCGGTCGCGGTACCTCTGTGGTCGAGGTCAGAGTCGTACCTGGGATCGACCTTGTTGCCAATGTTGGAGTTGTGCGAGCCGTAGTTTGTGGCCGTGGTGCCGGTCGTGTTCATGCGTTCGCGGTGGGCATCGGCGTCAGCAGGAGTGACACCGGCGTCGGCAGGGTGGCCTCGGTAGCCTCGATCCCACTCGTCGACTCCCTTATTGGCAATCTCCTGGTTCTTGGTTGCGCTCGCTTTATCGCCGCTCGCTTCGTCGACCATGGACATGGCATTGCCTCGGATGGCCTCGCCAGTTCCCTGGATATTGTTAGCATGAGTTTGATGTCGAGGTACCTCGAGAGATTGGAGTAAAGCGACGATGTTGAGCTATAGGCGCATGCATCGCAGCGATAGAACTGACTTACGTGAACCATGCCCACACCCTTGCGGATAGAGTCGCCGAGAGTCATGTTGGATATGTGGGTATTAGGTGTATTATGGATAGCAGTTGAGAAGCTTGTGTAGTTGTGGAGAGACGCGTATAGGTTGGTATATCAAGGTGTGTGTTGAGAGTAATCGTGAACAAGAAGCCAGGAGGGGTGCCGACATAAGTACTCGACGCGGGCAGTAGCTGCCACGCAACCTGCTTCTGGGTTTGCCATGATGTGCATCGTTTGCGCGTAGTTTGGGAAAGCGCATTGCGACATAGGCTCGACGATGTGATGTCATGCTCGGAATTTCAAGGACGCGCTGCCGGCAGGGCTGAACTAAGCCGCATTGGGGTTCCCACGCGTCGAGCATGACATCCGGCACGTTGCGGTGGGCTCCATGGCTACGAGGGCACCTCATACAAGGAAAAGACCTGAACGGATCTGGAGACTACATTGACATTAGGGCACCTACTTTGCAGGTTTATATGTTTATGTAGGCTGCAGACCTGTTTAGCTTTTTCCTAGGTTAACGTGAGGGCCTGTCATAGATGAATGCATCGAAACGGATACGGACGTCAGAACATTTGCACATGAAGTTGAATGATGATGTCTAGAGGTAACATGTCGGTCTCTGATGCCATTGTCAAGTCGATCATGCCACCCTGCCAACCACGCCCATACGCGCAGGCGGTAAAATGCTGTGTATTCGAGCTCTTGAAGTACATGAAATGATAAAGTGTTCTCATCCATTCACACTACAGAACTCGGCCAGAGCCACTTTGCCGTATCAGCAACCTGGTCAGGACGTGAAGAGTCATACTCCAACCAATCTCCACTCTCGGCATTGATACTTCAGTATGACCTATCAAATGTTCCCATTATGTGAAAGCGCTCCTCGGTAACAGAACTATCTCGACGCTGGAACATGAAAGCGGAAATCATTGCACCAAAGAGGCCAAATATGGGGATACTGAAATCTTATTCTCTCGAGGAGACTTTCGTAACGTTCATCATCATATATGTCTAGGCATGCGACTTTTCTGTCCTCAACTCCATGATCGCACCACCTCTAGACCGCGTCCATGTCACTGCCGTCCCCACATGCACATCCACCAACGCCGTTTCCCCGAGACCGGAATCATCGCCGCGTTGTCTGTTGGGAAGCCTCTTAGGCCTTGCCGGCGGTGTAAAAGTCCTCCAATGCTGTCTTTAGACGAGCCGACATAGTAACTTCTCCGGCACGAACCTTCGGGAAGTCAGTATATGTCTCATATGCACTCTGTATAGTCAAAAGCTTACCCAAACCCTCGGATCGTAGAACTGAGCGCTCAAGTCAGTGTCTGTTCCATATGTAGTCCATACAGAGTTACGTACCTTCTTATTTGGCTTGCCCGGGCCATCCGGGTTGCCAACCTGGGACATCAAGTAGTCCTTCTTGTTCAGGACGTAGTCGCGGACACCGGAGAGATAAGCCCATTGCATATCTGTGTCGAGGTTGACCTTGACGACACCGTATGAGATAGCCTGACGGAAGTCGTCGACAGAGCTGCCACTGCCACCGTGGAAAACCAGGAAGACAGGCTTGTCATCCTTGGCATTGGTCTTCTCCTTGACGAACTGTTGGTGCTTCTGGAGAAGCTCGGGACGTAGCTTGACGTTTCCTGGGGAGTAGACTCCGTGGACGTTGCCAAAGCCAGCTGCGATGGAGCTAGACGTGTGTCAGTGTTTGTCTCACTTGAAGGTAGTATCGAATTGCCATACAAGTACTTGGATACTTCAGAGAACTCTCGGTAAATGTCCTAGTAAAAGTCAGTCTGTGTCTCGTGATATTAGCGAGTTGGAGACTTGCGTAGATGTCCTCGGGTCTACATGTAGAGATTAGTACGGTTCTGCAGTGAAATATGTAGAGGCATTAACATACTGCGTGTAGAGGCTGTTGTTGTCGACGTCCTCGTTGTTGACACCGTCCTCTTCTCCACCGGTGATTCCGATTTCCATCTCGAGGAACTGCTTCATGGGAGCGGCGCGCTGGAGGTACTTCTTGGAAGTTTGGATGTTCTCCTCCTTGCTCTCTTCTGAGAGATCGATCATGTGGGAGCTGAAGAGGGGCACGCCTAAAGAGATACCAAGTCAGTAGTTGTCTCCGTGGACTTGGTACAGTCAGAACTTACCGTTGGCCTTGAAGAACTTCTCATCCTCATCGAGCATGCCGTCCAACCATGGCAGAAGCTTCTTGGCGCAGTGGTCGGTGTGGAGAACGACTGGGATGCCGTATGCGGGCGCAATGGCGCGGATGTAGTGGGCACCGGCGATGGCTCCCTGGATGGAAGCGCTCTGGTCCTTGTTGTCGACGCCCTTTCCGGCAAAGTATGCGGCACCACCCTGGCTCATCTGCAGGATGATGGGGGACTTCGAGTCGCGGGCGGCCTCGAGAGAAGCGACAACGGTCGAGGAGGAGGTGACGTTGATGGCGGGGATGGCGTAGCCCTCGGCCTGGGCGTGCTTGAAGAGGTTGTAGACATCCTCACCGTAGATGACACCGGTCCTAGAGAGGGGAATGTTAGCCTCAGCTCGCGATCATGCGAGCGGGGTCGATGTAACTTACTTGCCGTTGAGAACCTTGGAAGCCATGTTGGTTGTTGTATCGGGTATGTATTGGGTATGTGTTTGGGTGTGTAATGGAGAGTACAATTCAGTGTCTGGAATTGTAGGAAGGTGTGGTATGGAGAGAGAAGTTTGCGCAGTGTTGAGAGCTATCTAGTTAAAGTTCAAACATGGTAGTGGGGTTACCGGACCACAAAAACCACCCCGCTACTGTAATGACCGCAGCAGTGACGCAGCGCGCAGCGTCGCGCCAGCTTCCCTCACCCAAAGTCGACCTACCCGCGCTCGAGTAAAAGCAAACATCACCCCACAAAAGTCCCGATACGCTATATCCGATACCATGACCTTTGGTTTGTCAAATTCTTTTCACACCGTGATGGCGCTGCGCTGAATCACTGCACCCAACCGTGGGTGATGGCAGTGCGCAGTGACATGCGCCTGGTCTGATACACGATGATGCTTCACGGCCGCGCTCTGAAGTCATGGCGGGGCCGCTTTTGCTCGGCAGCGCGGAAGTAAAGTGGGCTGTCTTTTTCACATTAGCTCGGTGAAGCATCATCGCAGTCCACAGGTGACATGTTGTCCGAGTCTCGCCGCGAAACGCTATCACTTTACGCCTCGAATTACCGAGCCAGCCACTTCTTCCATGTTACTCAGCTCCGTCCAGGCATGCGCCAGGTCCCACCAATGAAGTCACTCTGATGATGCTGGATTGTACACATGTGCGATATCGTGATCGTGATTGAGGCGTTGTCTGATTTTTCCGATATGCGGAATTCTACGTGACATGGATGGCACAGGTATATCTTTACAGCGAGGCGGAGGGATCCTCGGAAGGTGTGGCCTGGGCCTCCAGATGTCCGAGGTTGGGGTCTGGGGCTCGTAACAGCCGGCTGCTGCAGCCTCATGATTCCGATGTCTTCGCTCTGACTCGGATGTTCCTCACCATAGACTCCTCTACGCCGGGTAACCGTATCTCCACCTTGAATGTGCCCAGCTGCTTCACACGCGATGTGTCTCCCTCCTCATGCCCTGAGAGGAACTTGACGTCCGCCTCGTTCAGTATTACGCGAGCCGCCTCGTCGTTGTGGGCGAGCGCTCCCCTTATGGTTGCTACCAGATCTGCAGTCGAGACAGATCCGTATATGGCGTCTACAGATGCCTTCTTGCCCATCGCGGCTGCAGTCAGGATGTCTGCCGCACCAGACGCACCCATGCGGTCTCTGGACTGGCTCTCTTGCTCGATCCGTTGGCGATAGAAGTCGATTGTGGGTGGTACGAAGGCGTCGAGGAGTTCCATAGATCGTTCAGGCTGTCCGTGTTAGTGTGCGTAGGAATGGCGGGTCGATATAAACATACGCTGAGCACGTTGATCTCAATCGGCCGCACGTAGTGTTTCGGCTGCTTCGCGAAGTCGTCCTCCTCTTCCTCGACCTCCTCCAGATTCAGTCGTACGCCATATGTGAAGTCACGGGCCATATCCACGTCCTGCGCCTTGAGCTGCTTCATCTGGATAGCGGGTACATAGTCGGCGACGCGTGCGGGAAACCATCGGTTGCGCATGAGAGATGGGTTGAGGGGAACATATGAGCCTTGATCGTATTAGCCATATTGACTGGTGATGTTTGCGGTCAATTTGACAGCTTCAGTGGCTTGCCAGAGCGCACATGTCAAACTTGTGCAATAGCTGCATCGTACCTGCGCGACCAAATCTTGGCACATCCTTCAGTAGCTTCACGATGATGTTGCGCTCTGCCTCCTTCGCCTTCTTGGAAATGCTGCGAGTCTGCTGGGACCCCCAGACGTCCAGATTCTGCCGCGTCACCCTCCGGATGCATGACGTGCACTGCGGGAGCAGCGTGGACGTCCTCAGCGAAGCCATTGCGCGTGTCGTGGTGAGATTGGATTAATCTCAAGAAAAATGCACGACGTCCACCAGATGTGGAGATCCTTGCGGCGGAGGGCGGAAGGTGCGAGTGGCCGGTGCTACTTGCCGTAGGCTCGGCATACTTTGCGCCCGCCTCACAAGCAAACGACAGATGACGGCCAGCGCAATATCCCAAGCTGGCCAGCAGTCGGACCATGGCTTCTGCAGCAGTCAGACACACCCTACGCCATTCCCATAGCATCTTCGCCGTACAACCTTAGCACGACCGAGCACAGTGTTCGCGACACCCTACACGACCCCAGTTTCCCCATCCAATCCGGCGGTAGCGGAAGTGACAAGCGCCGCAAGATGCCTGAGAAGCCCCTCACAATTGCAACCTACGCCGCAGGAGCCTCCCTCGCCGCCATTACCCTCGTCTATGTCTTTGGCCCGACGTATTTCCTCGACGACGACGCAAATGCAGCCAGCGGCAAGAAGAAGGGCGTCGTCGGCCTCAGCAATGCCGCGAATGACTGCTTCATCAATTCAGTGCTGCAGGCGCTTGCGGGCTTACCAGACCTGCGCATATATCTCATAAGAGAGACGCATAGGCGCATGCTCGACGGACCCGAAGTTTATGATGTGGACCCTGAAAGACTCAACGCCGAGACAGGGACCGCGAGGCCCGCAAAGCTAGAGGGTCTGCAGCGAGGCATCCTCACCCATGGACTCAAGGAAATTCTCGACCGGCTGAACGAGCGACCCATATACAAGAAGACCATATCTCCCCAGCCCTTTATTCGATCGCTCGAGCACGCTTTCGGCACCCGCATTAGCCGGCAACAGCAGGACGCGCAGGAATTCCTCCAGATTGTCACCGAGCGCCTATGCGACGAGTACCACGCCGGCGGAAAGGCCAGGCGGCAGGCTACACGGGCAGGCGCCACAATCATAACCGAAGACGGCGCATCGGAAAGGAGGGACATTGAACGTCAGTTCGGCGCAGCACCCCCTGAGGGTTCTGGTAGCCATGGTGTAGAAGAGCCGGAGGACGATGAAGCACCCGCGGATGAGGAGGGCTTCCCGTTCGAAGGCAAGATCGAATCGCAGATTGAGTGCCAGACATGTCACTTCAAGCCGAAGCCTTCCGTATCGACCTTTGTCACCCTGACACTCAACGTACCGCAAGCCTCCTCCACCTCCCTCAACGCCTGTCTCGACGGCATGCTCAAGGTTGAATACATAGACGACTTCAAGTGCGAGCGCTGTCGGCTGGAACATGCGCTGAGGAGCAAAGACCACCAGCTCTCGCGAGCCACCGATTCGGATGCACAGGCTCTTCTACAATCAGACATCGCGAAGATCCGACAAGCATTAGAGGACGATCCTGAGAACCCGCCTGAGGGCGTTGAGCTTCCGGACTCGAGCCAGGCACCCAAGCGTCGCATAGCGCGCCACATGTATATCTCGCAATTCCCCAAGGTTCTTGCGATACATTTGTCGCGCTCGACGTTCGCCATTGGCGCTGCCTCGACGAAGAATTTGGCGAAGGTCGCCTTCCCTGAAGCTTTGCCATTAGGCGGAATACTACACCGGAAGAACTACCGTCTTCTTGGAATGGTCACACACAAGGGCAGCCATAATAGCGGTCACTACGAATCCTTTCGTCGTCAAGTCCAGCCTCTTCCGTTCTCCACGAACGCGACACTTGGTACTGAAGGCGCATACAGCCGGCAAGCCAGCCCATACCCGTCAGCAGCACCATCGGTAGCGCCCTCAGCCGTACAAAGTCCGCGCATATCAGCACTCAATCTTCCCAACACCATCGACCGCGGGTCACCAGTCCCGTCCACACCCACACTTAATTCCCCCTCAACTCGGTCGCTGTCCTCACAAGAGACCATGCCTGCGCCCTCAAGAGGGCCAGCACCAACTTCCGCACCGCGCATGTCCGAGTCTGATCCACTACAAATGGCATCCTCTTCCACCGAAACAGGCACCGGCAGCGATTCATTGTCCCGTACGAGGAGTGTACGATCACTGAAGGAGCGTGCATCAGAGAAAGCGTCATCGATAAAGGAGTCGAATCCTCTGCGGCGGAAGTCAAAGAAGACGAGCAATAGGTGGTGGCGTATAAGCGACGACAAGATCAAGGAGAATAAGACATCCGAAGTCTTGAACATGCAGAAGGATGTGTATTTGCTGTTTTATGAGTTGAACAAAGTCTGAGCTACTTTCAAGTGGCCATTGTACAAAGGGATGATGGGTATGCGGCACTGCATCTTTGCGCAATGCTAGTGATGACGGTGTAGCAGAAAAGCCTGCATTAGATATCACTCGCTATGGAAGCGAGACACGAATGAAGAACGTGTAACATAATGCAACTCGAGCGAACTATAACATTGATCAGGTTGTTTCGCCATACCAGACCGTATGCGAACTTCCCCAAACCACTCACGTTGGCAATGCGCCGTGAATGCTACCTCTGTCTCGTGGCTTTATCAGCGATGATATCATTGGTCAGACCCCACGTGGCCCTCCTTCCCCAACGATAACCACCAATGGTCAGGATGCCCAGCCTGCAATGCAACGACATCGATGCTACGCTCGTAGTTTAACACCACACACCCCTCATCTGTGCTGACCGGTCACCTGGGAAGGGAATCGCAACACACATCTGCTCATCCTTAGGCCTTTCGGATCGCTCAAAACGCGCCCATTCACCACGGGTAGACCAAGACTAGCAGGCACAAAAGTACGAGCACTTTTGAATCGATTCTAGCACCAAGCGGTCTTTCATCAGGCTCCTCAATTTGCATTCAGATTTCGAGCAACGACAGTCATAGCGACCAGCTTATGTACTGTAGCAATCTCTAAAATTACTTTAAACCGTTCCTTCCTCATCATAATCCAAGCTTCAACCGATATAAGCGACATGCCAAGCCTCGAAGCAGACGAGAGCGCCTTCCTCCAGGCCGAAGGAAAGCAAACTTTCACCAGCCCACCCCGCGTCCTCATCATCGGCGCAGGGAGTCGCGGCACAGCCTACGCTGAAGCCGCACAATCTTCAATTAACTCCATCATCACAGCAGTATGTGAGCCCAATGGTTACAAACGCACTGAGTTTGGTCGCAAGTTCATCTGGGGTGACGGAGGTGAGGCCAAAAATCACCAAGCATTCCGCGGTTGGAAGGAATGGAAAGAGTACGAGATGAAGAGAAGAGATCAGGAAAGTGCTGGTCATGACGTGGAGAAGGGCATCAATGCAGTGTTCGTATGTGTACTGGATGAGATGCATGAAGAGGTCGTCTGCGGTATCGCAGATATGGGCGTGCACATCTCGTGCGAAAAACCGATGAGTACGAGATTGGAGAGTTGCATGAGGATGTACAAGGCACTCAAGGCACCGGTCGGTACAGGCGAGGCAAAAGAGACGATCTTCGGTATTTGCCATGTGTTGCGGTACTCGCCGCACAACATGTTGCTGAGACATCTGGTACTGGAAAAGGATGTCATTGGTGATGTGTTGAGCATTGAGCATGTTGAGCCTGTTGGTTGGTGGCATTTCAGTCACTCCTACGTCAGGTACGATATCTACATTCATTCTTGTCAATCTCCATGCTGACGAACGCAGGGGTAACTGGAGGAAAGAATCCAAAACTGCGCCATCTCTTCTCACAAAGTCCTGCCATGACATCGACTTCCTTATGTGGATGCTCTGTTCGCCTGGTCCAAACACTGAGAATGCGACACCTCATCTTCCATCACACATCACGTCTACTGGGTCTCGTAACTTCTTTCGCAAAGATCGGAAGCCGAAAGCAGCTGGCTCAGCTACGAATTGCCTATCTTGCGCGTATGAGCCAGACTGTGACTATAGTGCGAAGAAGATATATCTCGAGAGACACCTGGACAACGGCAACGCAGATTGGCCAGTCAAGATTGTGAACCCTGAGATCGAAGACATCTACAAGACTTCCGGTAAAGAGGCAGCTGGGAAGCAGCTTCTCAAAGATCTGACTGAAGACTATAGCAGTGAGACATCAATCGGTGAAATTGAACAACGCCCGTGGTTTGGTCGATGCGTATGGGAGTCGGACAACGACGTATGTGACGACCAGATGGTCACGATCACCTGGGATGATGATCCAGTCGCAAATGACGATGATGGCCTACCTATGCTGCATGGCCGAGGAGCAAAGACTGCCCAATTCCACATGATCGCCTTTACAGAGAAGCAGTGCGAACGGCGGGGTCGCATCTACGGCACCAAGGGTGAGATTGAGTACGACAGCACCAACATCAAAGTGCACAACTTTTCCACTGGGCAAACCAAAACTCACAGCCCTCATCTCGCAGGCGGCGGTCACGGGGGCGGAGACGAGGGGCTTGCGCGACAATTCCTCATGGCGGTTAACGCTGTAGACTCTGGCGCCATGCCCGCGTCAGACGCCCAGCGGAAGTATCTCGGATGCGGCCTTGAGGAAGCGTTCCGGAGCCATGCCATGGTCTTCGCAGCCGAAGACGCTCGAACGAAGCGCCAGGTGATCGACTGGAAGAAGTGGTGGACCGAGTCGGTGGAGTCGCAATTACACGAGCGGTAACTACCTGGCATGATGACAGTTCAGGCGGGCAAGGAGAGTACGACGGGTAGTTTCTTTTCGGTCGCCGAAGATGACGGCAACTGTACGTAGGCGCCTAGATCAAGGCATGACCATCATGACATCGGATGAGGCTCTTGCGAAGCTCATGAAACTGAAATGAGGGCTGCCAAACCTCGCGCCAATCCGCTGTCAGCGCTCGATGAAGCAATACTAGCCCCAGGCACGTTTGACAGTTAAGCTCCGCTTTCAGGCAATTAACGGCCATTTCCCAGCCGGTTTCGGCTCGTCTGGGCTATATTTGGTGATCATGCTAAAGGCTAATACTTCCGCTTAGGGGTGGATATGGGCGCTTAATAGACCATGAGGCTCAAGGAAGACTATGGGTAGGGCTGGAAAATTTCTCCACGAGAGCGTTTCCGGGTGCAACGTTTGATAGTATGGGCGCTTGGATTGGCAGACGGGCTGGGGCCAGTCAGATTGCCCGGTTTGTGGTACATTGGACGAGAACGACACTCGCGCTGTCTTCGGGAGCGTCCGAACGTCAGTTTGCGCTGCTTCGTAGGTCATGCTCAAGACGCCGCTGGGGCTGTGCACAGAGTCGAAGTCGCACGCATGGCATGGCGGATGCCAGCGCAGCAGGTGGGCGAGGCCCGAGACCCGGAAGAAACTTGCTTGACAACAACGCGGTGAACGCGTCGACGTGTGGGCGGTCTAGGAAGCGTGTTATAGTCGTGAATTGACTCTCTCCGCCCATTGTGAGTCACTCGTTCGTGCATGGCGGGCATGCGGGAAGACGCATATCGCTCCGCAGAAACGAAACGCTGGAGCGCCGTGGTCCAATCAAGCCCCTCTCGTCCATCGATGACTCTTAACGGGCTGCAGCTGCCCCACGCAGCGCGGGACCCAGCACGGACGACACGGCAGGCGCTAAGCGGACAACACCACGCCCGTCGATTCGTCCCTTCGCGCTGCCAACGTCAAACTGCCGCCCCAGCGCCCATCGAGAAAAGTCCCTCAGTGTACTACGACACTAGAACTCTGCTATGCGGCGCCGAGGCTGCCGGTTTCAGGTTATCCAACCGCCCCATGTGCAGGCGCGTCGCTGGCCCGCTTACCGCTTCGGTATACCACTTCATCGCGGCAGCCATTGACAGCGCAGCATTCCATGCCGCCATACTACATCGAGTATGCAACGCTGCAAGAATAGCAGACCCAGAGTCGTTCGCTAGCCACGTACTCGCCCAAGCCAAGCAGCAGCCACGCTATGTTTCAGACGCCTTGTGAGGCTCGAATGCTGTAGAAGGATGCTCTGATACTGCCGCCAGACCGCCAGAACGTAGTCTACCGGTCCAAGTCCCCGGGTGCTGGCCCTTCGATGGATCGTGTTTCAGATGTTTTAGCGCGAAGTGGGCGTTGGTTCTCGTGTCTCTACGCGGGGAACAGTAAGGATAAGAAGTCTGTCTGCGCCGCAATCAGCCAGTCCATCAGCTTCTTCAAGCACTTCATTTAGAGCACTGCCCGACGAGTCGATCGTGTCTCATTTCCTTTCTTTCTCCATCTTTTGCGCTTTTGTCTTAGACACCTAGAGCTGGCCTCTTCTATTAATCGCTATTCGATAATCTCTTCCTGTTACTATTCTCAGTCTTCACAGCGTAAGTCACTGCTTCTATTCTCGAGTTGATTCATTGGTGCTGATTGGAAGTAGTCTGGTAGCTTCACATCATTCATCATGTACAGCCGTCAAACAACACCCCCGACTGCTCCCTTCAACTACATCCCGGGCAGCGTCGGCTCGGACGTCACATACTACTCCCAGGCCTCATCGCCGGAACCTCACATCTCTGGGCCTACTCCCCCACGGTCACCAGTTCGCCAATATGGACCTATTCTTCTCCCCAAGGTCCGTATGCAAGATCAGGTTGCCGAGCCCACCAGTGGTCCCATCAGACATCGCAGGACGACGTCTACTTCTTCCAGTATCGGCTATGCCTACAGCCCATACTCACGGCCAGCCTCGATGGCGCGCCGTGGATCCAGTCCTTTCAACCATAACATGCACAACGTTCACAGCCAGTTGACTTCTCCTGTGTCAACTGGTTCCTCATACGACTTCAACCTCTCTACCCTCAACTCTCCCATCACATTCGCACAGCAGCCTGAGCTTCCTCGTCGATCCTCATACATCGGATCGCAATCTCGCTCCACTTCAGCTAGCCGAGCCCGCCATGATCGCTCCGCCTCTGCTGGAAGTGTTGATGAGCAGGTCATCAGCCGGTACGGCTTCCCCACCTACCGCAACATGCCCAGCTATGTCACTGCTTCAAGTGCGCCTCAGTCGAACTTGAGCCTCGTTACTTCCCTTCCTTCTTCCTACTCCTCGGTTCAGGACATGCCTAGCTTCACCTCCACCTGCTCGCAAGACTTCACTATTCCAGAGTTCGAGGCTGCTCCAGCTGTGCAGTACCCCTCCTTCACCGAAGTCAGCTTCGACAGCTTCCAGCAAGTCCCTGCTACGTCGTCTTTGGTTGAGTATCTCTCTTCTGCCAACCCCTCCCCATCTCTTGTTCGCCGCGTCACTAGCGCACCACGCGGCATCAACAACCACTTCTGGTGGGACATCCGCAACCTTCGCAGCTGGGAGGACTTCAACATCACCACCATCAAGTCCATCCCCTCGGTGCTTCCTCTTCTTGAGGTGCCTGTTCCAGCCAACTACCTTCCCCAGCCTTGCCGTCAGAACCTGCAGCCAGAGAACGAGTCCGCGCTCCAAGACATCTGCACCAACTACTACGCCAACAAGGTCAACGCCGCTCTCAAGGTCGCTCAGGGCAACTCACACATGGTCATGCGCTCCATCAAGCCCGTCGCCGGCCAACGCACGCAACCAGAGTTTGTCTCCAACTACCCCTCCGACTATGAGAAGACTCTCTTCGGCGACAGCCGTGGCCGCGTCGTCGGTCTCGTCAAGTGCTACGACCAATGGAACACCGGCATGCGCAGCGAGTCACCACCTAAGCAAGTCCTCTACCTCCAAGGTCTCGCTCACCTCCACCGCGTGATGCGCGAGCACGGTTGCCGCTACGGCTTCATCATGACCGAAATCGAGCTCCTCTGCGTCCGCTGCGGCGGCCCATCCTCCTTCTCCACCCCCGACCCCACAACCGTCAACGCCCAAGCCGGCGTCCCCATCTACGGTTACCTTGAAACTTCCGCCCCTATCCGTCTCTCCACATCCGGTTCCCACCCTGAGACCGGCGACATCCAACTCACCGCCGCCCTTGCTCTCTGGTACCTCCACATGCTCGCCAAGGAGAATCCCTTCGAGGGCATGGGTACCTGGCGCATGGACGTCGGCGGCCCTGCGGCGCTGACGAGGCAAAACTACCTTGAGAAGGATGCCTGGATTCCTAAGCCGCAGCTTGGCGAGAAGAGGGAGGCTAAGAGGGTGCGGGGATGGGTATTCCCTGATGAGCCGCTCAGCAAGAGGGAGTGTGGTAAGGGCAAGAGGGGTAAGAGTATTGGTTAAGAGATGGGTTTGGTCATGGGTCATGGGTCATGAGGTTTGGTTATGAGGTATGAGGTATGATGGGACGACGGGATGGGACATGAAAACATCAGCTGCTGGTCAGCATAAGCTCTGCTTCTTTCTTGCATTGAGCGGCGTTTCTTTCTTGGGTTTAGCAGCATTGCACGGCGTTTTTTGATTGGGTAGCATTTACATGGCGCGCATTATTTTACAGATCATATAGTATCTATACTCCTAGTTCAGAAGCAATGGTATCTCTCACCATCAATATTTCGGTTTGCATGCTTGGTGTGGCTGGTGTGACTGGCGCTTCCGTGTTGGTGCTGAAGGCTGAGCCTTGGGTCTGTGACGCGCATCACGTGTGCCGGCTTTTGGGATGAGTCTTTGGGGTATAAATACTGCGCGGGATTGTGGTACGGAGACTTCTTCATTATACTTCCTATTCTGCTTTTCCAAAACCACAAGAAGTGGTCATCATGAGATTTGGCTCCTTCCTCCAAAAGAAGCCTTTGTACGGAACATGACTGTCCTCTTCTCTTCAAAAACACCCCTACAAGCCTCTGATGGCTGCGACTCTGCCAAATCCACTGTCACATTACCAAAATTGAGCTTTATCCCCTTCCATGGAGACGGAGAATCCGAGCAGTCCTAAAAACACCAAAGATCAACTTTATGGTTTTCTGTCCTGCCTTCTCGCTTCCAAAAAAACATACATCAACTTATAATATGTTCGGCGGACTCTCAAAAATGCTGGTTTTCGGAGTCATGTGTCTGTGCTCTCTCCGTCGAGCATATAAAACATCTCTCGGCCTCTCTGTGTTCTTCCCTTCTTTATTACATTGTTTCATCAAAATACCAAAGACTATTTACGAAAACTTCATGGAGAACTCCGCTATTCAAATACCAGAACAAAACGAACATGTCGTTTTCTCCTCTCGTCTTCTCCATCACGCTCTTCCACCAAAAACATTTGGGTATGGCGATATGAGAGCCCTGCGGTTCAAACAGCAACAGCGCTAGCAACATGCTGTTCTCCTCGTCTCCTCTTCCGAGCAAGCAAAATGTTCACCTTTGACTTCTTTGAAAACCCAAAAAACGGGAAGCATCGACGACATGGAGAGATTCAGCGGTCCGAACAACAACAGTGCGAGCACCATGTCGCTGTCTCTCTTGTCTTTGTCCAGAAAGGGCGGCGTGCAACTCGCATGTCCGCGAAACCCGAAGTTAGGAGCCAGACATACTATGAGAGATTCGGTGGTCTAAACAACAGCAACACTAACAACATGTTGTCCTCCTCTTCTTCCTCAGAAATAAGCGATCAACGTCAAGAGTCATGAACACCGAAATTGCGTGCGGTCCAGCATATGACGAGGTTCGGCGGTCCAAAAAAACCAAACGTCAGCGCAATGATGTCTTCCTCTTTTTCCCCCAGAAAGATAGTCAATCAGTTCCCTCTTTTTAAAATTTAAAATGA